AGAAAAAAACAACTGGAACCCCAAAGGCAGGTAAACCCCAAAAAAACCACGGTAAGTCTGCCGATTCGCCAAATCATGAAACTTCCATCATGCCTTGCCAAAAAGCAGGCCCAATTCCCGAAAGGAGATCGCGATCCTCAAAAGGCTCTTTGGGTTCGATGCGCACCACGATTTTGTGAAAGATTCCGAAGTCTCGCCGTTTTGGCCGCTCATTTAGCCATAAACAACACATGTATATACATGCGTATATATATATATACATACATTCTTATTGACACGCATGTTGCATGTACTATGCACAGACTCGCTGGGGCCCGAGTTCCCTCCCCGCCCGCTCTTCGGCCACGGCGCTGAGCCACCGCGGCTTTGCGCTTGCGCTCGCTGCGCTCGCTGCCCTCGCCGGGATCGCAGCTTGGCGGGGGGACCTGTCGGGAGTCGCCGGATGCACCATGATGCACCATAGAGCCATACCCCAAACCCTCCAAACCACCTGGACCCCCCAAAAGCCAACTTTTTCTGCCTTTGACCCATAAAAAACGGGTACGAAGACAAACAAAAAGGGGCCACTTGAAGGTCCAGACAGGGGCCAGCTCACATGGAACCCACCAAGCCTACCTGAAACAGGGAACTTTCCGCGGGAAAGACAAGGTGCCATGTGAATAAAATCCCTGGCTCGCAGGAGGTTCTGGGTTAGTGAGTGCCAGCCTCACTTTGCTCAGGAGGTTCCATGTATGTTTTCATTGCTTTCTACGCGAGGTTCCAGTATTGTACCCTTCGGAGGAAGATGGCTATGAATCTTAATAGCAAACACGGTCCGCCACAAGGTCCCTAAGTAAACTCATGCCCAAATGGTCCAAACCAGAGACGGTTCCAGGTGGATGGGGGGGGGGGTAGTAAATTGCCCATGATGGTCGCTTACTGCCTGATTTCCGGCTTGTGAATCGGAGTAAATTGCCCAGACAGCTGGGCGTCGGAGGGGCGTCAACATGGGTTGTCTGATTCAGAGGGCTGACCTCCAAGTCGTGCCAGGCTTGTAAACAGCCGGACCCCGCATGAATCCACTTTTCTGCTCAACCACTGGCTCAGTTTCCGCGGCCCCGTTCTGTAGATATGTTACACATTCGGTATAGAGGAATCACATCCGGCCAAACCCAAGCAAAAATGTGGCACAATTGCGTCCGAATCATCCTACCACGTCCCAATAAATCCTTAACAAGGCCGCAGGGCCTTTATTTCGGCCGGCCCCACCTTTTCCTTGGGTTTTCTTCGGGAATGAGTTGGAATGACCACGATTTTCAGGAAGTTGTTCGCAAGCAGAGATTTGTTCCTTCATGTTCTCATTCACCTGGCGCTTCCTGGGGCAGTTCAAACACATCAAAAGCTTCAACTAACGTGGAACCAACAAAATCACGCAAGAACTGGACCAGAGAGCCCCATCATGAAAGGGTCGTTTCGAATCGGTGGCATCGCTGGTAACTTTGGCACCTCTGGCTCCTCCTCTTGAAGGATCTCGGGGGACTCCATGGGCGCGATCGATGGGAATGTTCAGACCCCAAAAACGGGTGCAGATTCCTTTTGGTTCCCCGGTAAACCAGGCTAAAAAAGGGAAGCTTCAAAAGACCCCTCGTAGGGCCGCAGGGTGTGTAGGTGAAAGCTCTGGTTTGCCACGAAGTGGGCAAGTGTTGCCCTTGCTGGGAGCCCATGACGCGCTGTGTTTCGTTTTGAGTGTTTTAGAAAAGAAAAAAGGTGGGCAGCTAGGGAAATCAAAGGGAAGATGCTCATGACAGTTGTCAGCTTGTAGGATGTATGCTGAAATGCGCAAACGTGCTGTGTCTGAGCCTGCACGGCAGCCAGCATCTGTGCCAGGTCGAAGGTCTAACTGTTGAACAAAGAAAGCTGTTGGATGCTGATGTAGAAGGGTTCACCGTGATATCAAGCTGATATAACGCGGCGCCACGACTCCGACTCTGGCACCCCTGGGCGGAACCGGCTGAAAGATTGCCAAGCAGCCAGCTACCCGGAGGTGCCAGGTCTGCCCCTATTCGTGCAGGATGGTCTCGCCATTGGCTTGCCATCCATCACCGTGTTTGCACGTGTAAGAGTCCAGAAACAAGTTGTTTCACAAATAATGATGATGCGCATGTCCAATACATGCCTCTTGATGCAGAACTGCCTCCAGGCCCATTCATCGCGCTTAATTTTTCCGCCGGGGTGTCTCTGGCGGTGTGCCTCAGCGCAAGATAAGCCCCACCACCACCGCCCACCCCCCCACCCAGGTGACATGGTTCTTTCAGGGGCCAGCAATTCACTGCTCTTCACTATGTTGGAAGCAACCTGGCAGTGGTTCCTAACCTTCCAGGTTCAATGGGTCAAGGGGGCCACCCCTGCCAGCAACAAGTGCGTGCGTGCGTGTGTGTGCGTGAGTGCGTGCGTGCGTGCGTGCGTGCGCGTGCGTGCGTGCGTGCGCGTGCGTGCGTGCGTGCGTGGGTGCGTACGTGCGTGCGTGCGTGCGTGGTGCGTGCGTGCGTGCGTGGGTGCGGGCGTGGGTGTGGGTGTGGGTGTGGGTGTGGGTGTGGGTGTGTGTGTGTGTGTGTGTGTGCGTGGGTGCGTGGGTGCGTGGGTGTGTGCGTGTGTGCGTGTGCGCGTGTGCGGGTGTGCGGGTGTGCGGGTGTGCGGGTGTGCGGGTGTGCGGGTGTGCGGGTGTGCGTGTGTGCGTGTGTGCGTGTGTGCGTGTGTGCGTGTGTGCGTGTGCGTGTGTGCGTGTGTGCGCGTGTGTGCGTGTGTGCGTGTGTGCGTGTGTGTGCGTGTGTGCGTGTGTGCGTGTGCGAGCGTGCGTGTGTGCGTGTGTGCGTGTGTGCGTGTGTGCGTGTGTGTGTGTGTGTGTGCGGTGTGTGCGTGTGTGCGGTGTGTGTGTGTGTGTGTGTGTGTGTGTGTGTGTGTGTGTGTGTGTGTGTGTGTGTGTGTGTGTGTGTGTGTGTGTGTGTGTGTGTGTGTGTGTGTGTGTGTGTGTGTGTGTGTGTGTGTGTGTGTGTGTGTGTGTGTGTGTGTGTGTGTGTGTGTGTGTGTGTGTGTGTGTGTGTGTGTGTGTGTGTGTGTGTGTGTGTGTGTGTGTGTGTGTGTGTGTGTGTGTGTGTGTGTGTGTGTGTGTGTGTGTGTGTGTGTGTGTGTGTGTGTGTGTGTGTGGTGTGTGTGTGTGGTGTGTGCGTGGTGTCTGTGTGTGTGGTGTGTGCGTGGTGTGTGTGTGTGTATGTGTATGTGTTGTGTGTTGTGTGTTGTGTGTTGTGTGTTGTGTGTTGTGTGTTGTATGTTGTGTTGTGTGTTGTGTGTTGTATGTTGTGTGTTGTATGTTGTGTTGTGTGTTGTGTGTTGTGTGTTGTGTGTTGTGTGTTGTGTGTTGTGTGTTGTGTGTTGTGTGTTGTGTGTTGTGTGTTGTGTGTTGTGTGTTGTGTGTTGTGTGTTGTGTGGTGTGTGGTGTGTGTGTGTGTGGTGTGTGTGTGTGTGCGCGCGTGTTTGTGTTTGCGTTCGCGTTTGGGTGTTTGTGTTCGTTTGTGCTCGTGTTTGCCAGGGCCGGCATTTGGCCGGCTGAGGGTTCCCGTGGAGCTGGAAAAAAAGCGACCCTTCATCTTCCTGAATAAAACGGCCCTTGAGGCAAAGAAATGTGTCAGGGTGCGGGTTGATCCATGACGGACATGTCATGGCCGGATTATCACCTCTTGATGATCTTGACGGCCTGGGGCCAAGCGCCTAGAGGGGAAAAACCCGTCTTTGTTTTGGGGCTTTCCTATTTTGAGACATACCCAGGTATGGCTTCTCGCTCACGGACCGAAATCTGCCTCAACGGCTTCGGGCGCGAAACGTCCTCCTTCAGGAGGACCTGCGACGGTGGCGGAGCTCAGCGACCCCAAAGCCAAGTATCTAATGTTGATGCGAAGGGAAGACGAATTTACAACTGCACCGACCTTTGCCGATGAGGTGCAGAGATAGCATAAACAAAAAGACATCTCTTGGCATCTGGTCGACATCGATGGCTCCAAAGACAACCCTGTCCAATCTCAACTGATCGCGAATCCGACTCCAGCTTGCCTCGCGGCCCTCTCGGCTGTTTGGCCTCCTGATCGCGGGTCGATCCACAACGCCAACCAAGTGGGAGCCCCGGTATGGACACGGTCGACGAGTCCCGGACCAAATTGCTTGCTTCCATCAGAGAACATGGGAAAATCGGGTGGCCCCCTGACTACCACTAACTTTATCAAATGTTTTCATATTGTCGAGTGTCTTGGGCTCGGAACTTGCAAAACCGGGGCGCCCAAACCCCTGGCCCCAAGCTCCATGCCGCCTATCTGAGAACAAAGCATTAAAGTACATCCAGTACGCACAAAGTTAGAAACTCAGAACGATCGCTTGGGATTTCATGTCGCTTCAGTACGGAGCATCATTCCGGGGCCAATTTGCCATTTTCAGGCATCAACTCCCCTCCTCACAGCGCCGGTCGCAGCATTGCGAGCCTGGCCGCGACATGCGCATCGGCCCCTGAAGTCTAAAGCGCTTGGGGGCAAAAGCTTCTACATTCTTTTGCGGATGCTTTGCAGTGGGGAAAATGTCACCTTTTCTCTGGGTAGTTGACTTTGAAGCGAACCCTCCCCCACACAAATGAGAAAAGCCCACCGCTGGTCCGCGGTCCAGATCTCTACAAATTTTCCAAGCCTCTGTTCGCAAGCCGCCAGCCGTTCTCTGCAGAGCCTTTGCGGATGTCCCGAACGTGCATCAAACAAAGCGACCTTGCACATATAGTCATAGAAAGGCTAAGCACGAAGCAACAACACCACTCAAATAAACGAATGGCTGGTCCCAAAGACCCAGCGCCATCGACGTCGTTCTGGCCCAAGTCCCCCGGCTCTCACCGAGCCAAGAAAAACATACCAAACAACTAGGCTGCATAACAAAAACGGCCCCGAGTGTTCCCCATGCCCCCCCAAAAAACCAACCTAGCCGCCCGTTTTCCCGGTGGTTTTCCGGCCGCTTTCCGTCAGAACCGCATGGGCACCGTCTCGTTGCAGCGCGCGGGCTGCCGAGGGCGCGGCGACGGCCACCGGGACCGCCACAGCGCCGCCTTCAGGTCCTCCGAGGCGCGGTGCGGCAGCAGCGGGGTGCGGTACAGCTCCGGCAGCTCGGTCTGGTTGAAGAAGAGGTCCTCATGGACTCTGGACGAAGCTGGCTTAGGGCTTAGGACCTGCCCCTTCTATTCCATCCTTCAGTCCGCTGGATGCCTGGATGGATGGATGGATGCATAAATGGATGGATGGATGGATGGATGGATGCATGGATGGATAGACTTATGGATGGATGGATGGATGGATGGATGGATGGATGGATGGATGGATGGATGGATGGATGGATGGATGGATGGATGGATGGATGGATGGATGAAGGAATAAAGGGATGAAGGGATGAAGGGATGGAAGGGCCATATATTGTGGTTTCGAAGGGCAAGGGCCATCCTATGGTTGCAAATGGTCAACTTCCACCCTGCTACTCGCATTACATATGGTACGCTGCAAGCCATGCTTGCATCCCAAACCTTTTGCCGAAGGCATGGCCAGCTTTTGTTGCCTAACTAACATGTCTGCCGCATGCTCAATAAACATGTCTGCTTCTTGTTGAACAGGTTTCCCCGAGGGCCTGACCCAATGCAAAGCCCGCAGATCCTGTAGTTCAGGCTTGGTTGGCTTGTACGAGGACCAAAGCGAAGTGGTGCCTGGTGCGTTGTAGCCTTGTGGGCAAGCCCGGCAACTTGGTTGGCCCGCAACCGCCGAACACAGCAACGGCAACAAGAATGTGTCATGGCAATGATGCGGAGGGCCAAAGAAATCAATTATGCGCTACTGGGCTCTTTGCTCTCTAAACAGGTTCGACTACTGGCGCTCTTTACACCAGACAGATGCTCGACAAAAAATGAGCCATGTGCAATCCCAATGACTATTCTTTTCAGGGTGTGGTGTAGTGTCGACATACTTCCGTTGCGACACCCTGCCTCTGACTGTTATGACCTAGCCAAGGTCCGGTTCAGGTGGCCCTGTCTTCAGCGAGACTTAGCGGAGCCTCCAATCTAAGAGGGCTTCCATTAACCCCAAACCACTGCCCCCCGCCCATATAATATGCATACACATTGATGTGTCTCTTTTTGAGAAACCCCTGTTTGAAGCCTGTTTAAAGGGAAGCCATAAGTACCCACCTGTTTTGGGAGGGGGCAGGTGGGAACCCCTGTGCCCCATTCTCCCTCAGTCGTTAACACCCATGAATCTGAATCCAAGGCGCAAGCAGGTCCGTGTAGCCCACACCCAGACTGTTCCGTGCCGCGAACTGCCGGGAGGCATGGGACTCGTCGCTGTCCCCGTGCCTTTGCGACACGCGAGGTCCAATGCAGTTTTGCGAATGGAATCCAAGATTATGTGCTTGTGTGCGTGTGTGCGGGTGTGTGATGGTGTTGGTGTTTGCGTTTGCGCTTGAGTGTGCCTTTGCCTTGGCCTTGGCCTATGCCCTTTCCCTTGCGTTTTTCATGGCCTTTGCCTGTGCCTTTCAGTTTGCCTTTGCCATTTCCTTTGCGCTTGCGTTTGCGTTTGGATTTGTGTTTGTGTTTGTGTCTGCGCTAGCGTTTGCCTTTGCCTTTACCTTTCCATTCGCGCTTGTGTTTGCCCTCGCGTTTGCGGTTGTGTGTTTTTGTGTTGTCTATTTGCGTTTGTCCTTGCGTTTGTGTGGTTGTGTGTCTGTGTGTTTGTGTGTTGGTATGTTTCTGTGTTTGTGTTTGTGCTTGCTTGCGTTTGTGCTTGTGTTTGTGTGGCTGTGCTTGTGTTCGTGTGTTTATGGTTCGGTGGCTCTGTGTTGGTGTGGTGGTGTGTTTGTGTGTGTGTGTGGGTGCGTGTTTGTGTTTGTGTGAGTGAGTGTTTGTGTTTGTGTCTTTGTGTTTGTTTCGTTTGTGTTTGTGTGTACACCGTTAGTTCCAAGGGGGACCAAAAGGAAGCCACCTACCTTGAGTGTTCTGCCACAATTCCTTCGAAGGTATCCAGATGCTACCCACCCCGAGTAGAGGAACCAGTTCTTGACCATGTCAGAGGACCCCTGGAACACTCCTGCTTTACCTTGGTTTCCTTGTAGTATGCAGCTTAAACACACACCACATATGCAGGGACGAAACTTATAGACTTTTGCAGGAACCGAATCCACTAAAGTGGCCCTTTTGGATTCGGCGTCCGCTTGGGTTTTCACCGATCCACCGATCCGTTTTGCCCTCGCTTTCCCCTTTCTGCTTGCCGCGGCGCAGCATGTGGAAGGCCACGATGCGGTCTGCGTCCCCAAACCAGCCGGCCACGTCCACGTGCCGCGCGGACACGAACTCCGTCTCTGGGTCAAGGAAGCCCCAGCCTCGATCTGAATCGGAAGCTCCGAGTGGGGATGGTACCCGCTTTTCTTTGGGGGCATCAATTCATTTGTTTTGGGAAATTTTTACGACTCATTCATGGAACCAATCAGTTGTCCAAGCCAGGACGCCCCCCCCCCCCCCCCCTCAGGTGGATGAGAGGGTACTTACTCACGGAGTCTCCATGACCCTTTAAACATGAACCAATGTGCCATGTCCATGTCCTTCTCAGGAAAGACATGAAAGACTGGGAAACTGGCAAGAACAAAACCAAAACCATTTGTTGCAACAAAAAGCTCCTGGTCTTCTAAACCAGAAAGCGCCCCCAAAACCCGAGGGGGGGGAAAAACCAAACCACACAGCCAGGGCGTCATGGGTCTCTGAGCGCTGGGCGCGGCATCTCCTCCGGGCGCACGGTGAGCTCCTCCTCGAAGGCCACCCGCTCTCCGGCGCGCAGAAAGGCGCTGAAGGCCTTCTGGTCGTGCTCGTAGGGGTGCTGGTACCTCACCATTTGGAGCTCGGGAAAAGTAAAATTCCTACGGCCCCCCAGTCCCCCCTGACAAAAACCAACGAAACTCATCCCCTCCAGAAATATTACTAGGGGACCAAAAAATCACAAACGCCAAATCACACCCCGGCGTTTGCCCCACAAAACTTGAAAACCCAAAGGTACCAGATGCAAACGAATGATCCTGATGTATCTTATGATCCTACCCTGCTAGTCTCTACAGATCCTGTATGCCCGCTTTTTAGTGCCTGCCCCCCCCCCACAAACAAAAAACATATGGGAAAAGTATGGAGGTCCCTGAGCATCCTGCCCCATCCTACCCTACCAAGTGATCCTGCCTGCTTTTCAGTGATTGCCACAAACAAAATACGAAATACCTGCAAAAAACCAGCCCCCCTCACGACGGAACCCTCTGAAAAAATACTAATGGAAACCCCGTACTCGCAGCGGGTACCCAATGATCCCACTGAGGTACCCAATAATCCTACCCAGAATACGTACCTTCTGACCCTGCCCTACCTACTGATCCTACCTGCTTTTTGTTGATGCGAACCCCCAGAATGGGAACCAAATGAAAATCGGCTTGATATATGATAATGCACTATTAATGCGTATCTATTACTGAATCCAAAAGCGCCGCAATGCGACGCTTTAAATAAAAGTGACCGCACCGAAATAGAACTGCGGTGCCTAATGATCCTGATGATTCCATTCGGGTGATGAAAAAACAAACAGGGCACCCAATGACAACTCCGGAATAGGTACCTAATGACAAGCGGCTTGGTCGAAACTTATATATCCAATAGGAAAGGATGCTCAAAACACCGGAATAAAACATAAGCCCGGGTGGCACCCCCAGCGGCAAGCACCGCACCCCTTTGGGAACCCTATAGAGGACATCTTAGCTGTTTACCAACGCGGCAGATGCTGCAAAAATTAAAACATGCAGCAAGTGGGCAGCCATGAGCAGCACACAAGAAAAGCATCTGAAGGTGGCAAAGCCTGGATTCTTTATATTTTGCAAGCATCACAATTCGCCTTTCATATGCAACCCACATGGACTACATCTACATGGCTTTCCCCAAGAGAAACTCAGTCGCGACTACCAACAGTAGGAAACTAGGTGGGATTCATGCTGCAGCGTATCCTTTCGAAGACATTGCAATATAGCAAGTATCCTGCTGCACTTGGTCTTCAAGCAGTTGTCGGTCTGTTCTCACGTGTCGTTTCTATTCTGCACATGAAAAGCCAACCCCACTTCGCCCCGCACCACAAGCAAAACTAGAGTGGTCTCATGCCGTACTTCGACCACCATCCAGCTGATACAGCTGGAAGGTTTTGCGCCTTGTGGCATCGTCCAATCCCGTGCAAAACAACAGCCATTTCTGCATCAGGGAAAAAGACACTGGCCGCTAGAGTGCCAAGCTTGATCTTCGTACATGGGTGTATCCAAAATGATGAGTAAACAAGCAAAGGAGAGAGAAACGGCATTTGGGTATGCGTCAAAATATTCCCGGAAATGGTGGTGTTCCTGTTGGCTTCCCTTAAATCCACCTGAAAAGGGTGCCCTCAAAAAACATACCCCCCGCACCGGAAACCTAAAATCACGGTGACCACTATGGCACTGAATCCAGGCTGCATCCAAACCAGCAGCTTCTGCAGCCAGTGCCTCACCTCCGCAAATTGGGTACCTATGATGACCCGTTGAGTGGGTCCTAACTGGGTTCGCATGCTAACCTTCAAGGTGAACTCTGCTGGAAAATAACAATTCCCCGTGAAACATTGACTCAAAGCGGGATCCCGCGTCATGTCGGAAGGTTACTCTAATGGCCTTAACTGTACCCTGTGCACAACTCCAACCAATCTCTAGAAAACAACTGGGAGGTCAACCAAAGCAGAACCAAACTGGCTTTCGACAAGGGCAATTGTTCTTTTGGGCACGGGCACCTTTTGAATTGTGCGGCTTTGGGCCCTTGCGCCAAAGTTCAATGAGTTGCTGCGTGCTTTCTTTGCAAATAACAGCCAAGTAAAGGCAAGTCCCTCCCCCAAACCTGGTTGGATTCTGAGAGCTGCAATGC